TATGGGTGAATTTGCAGCTATCTTTATCACGGGAAAACAAAAAGTACTACTCCGGGTGAATAACATAGAACAATAGGTAGCTATAACAAAAGTACCTTAGCGACCTCTTTTACCTACATTTTATTTGGAAACTGTACAAGTAACAAATTTTGAAAAATAATATAAAGAGATAGAAAACACATTGTAGTCTTACATACCACATTTGCAAAAACACACCTCACAACAATGGAATCCCATTAATGAAGCAAAGCAAAATGAATTTTTCTCTACTCATTTTCCGGTTATATTGAATATTCCTATGTTTGCCTATCCCAGGGTTTTCCTCCAAGGCTGTCGCTTATTATTTTAAAGATAGTAAGGTACATTATAACAAATAAAGAAAACTGCTGATAGCCAATGGCAACTTTTGCACGATGGCGAGATCTTTTCACCTGCTATTTTATTATGAATTGATACACACTCCTTTTCTAACAGAGTTTCAACTAGATTATGCAATATTTAACAGTCTTGCAAAGAGCTTGTTTTCGGTCGGCTACGCTCAGCTTGTGTGAAGTAGTCTAGACTATCACAATCTATATAAAGTATATTGCAACGTGTACAGTTAAAACAAGTTTACTCAGATGCAATCCAATATTATCATAGCTCTATCTAAAATATCAAAAATTGGCACGGTTTGCACTTGTTTATAATTATTAAAAATCAAAAGATATATATATATATATACTGCTAAAGTTTGTGGTCATTTGAGTGTATAGTCATTAATGTAATGTCACGCTATAATAATGTAGTTGGCTTGTCAGCTCTGTGTAATGTATGTTTCCTTGTGCATTGATTGATATTTTTTTATTTAGCTAGTTAGCTCTACTAGCCGTCTATTTGTATGCTGGCCTATCTATTCACAAGTACTTTACTATTTGCACCTGCCTTGTGCATATTTCATATAAAACTAGAACCAAACTAAAAATTAAATTCCTACCAGCCACATTGCAAACGTCAACAGATTTATCTCCAATTTCTTAATGAAAATGGTTTATGAAGTAGTCAGTACCACTCTAGATTTAAGCAATACACGATACAGCAGGTTCCATTGGAACATTTTTTTATTGATTAGTAACTGAGCTTAAAATATCAATGGCCATCTTTATGATATTGGTATAATAACAGTTATAATTTACATGTAATAAACGCTCCAAACATGTACATCAATAGTATACGTAAACAACAGACACACAAACTTACCCAGGGTTCAAATATTACAAAACTATGATAACAAATCTATACTAGCCTCGACCCGCAAAACATTTGCGGTAGTCTTCATGTTATTCACTTCAATTTTCCTTAGTCTATCATTTTCACGCACGTCATTTAAGCTACGCTTTCTTGCAGGCATTATGTATTAGATTAACAAATCCTAGTCTATTTGAGAAAAGTTTATGCAGACAGAGAATAAAACTCAGTAGACAATACTTTATTTATTAAAGTTACACATACGTAACTTAATTTAATATAACTACACGTAAATAAACAATAAAGTATATCAATGGTATTTATAATAGTGTACATTATATGAAACAGTTATGAGCTTTCAGTGTATAACACGGTTTTATGAGTTGAAACAAAGAAACTCACAAAAACGAGCAATAAAACCCATAGTAAAGAAAAAAGTAGCTGAAAAGTGTTTATAGTAGTCTATGAAACGAATCGAAATTAAGTTATTGCAAAATATAGTAAATGCAAAGTTATCATGAATCAAACTTAGCTGAATATGCAGAAACGTCTGAATGCGTGCTCAGAAAGTGACAAGCATATGATTTTGAACGAATTGCGAATGCGTATTTTTGACCTAAATAAGTCGAGAAAGCCCATAGCAATTGTACTTAGTGTAATGTTCATTTTTTAAGGAAATTACAAGCGGCTTAAGTGCTGTTTTGTGAAATACTTTGCAAATGCAAAAACTAATGTTGAAATCGAAGCCAGTCGTCACGTGATGACAACGATATTGTGCCATCGTGTAGCATTATCGTTGCACTAAAAAGCTTGACTAAGAAAAAAAAAATAAGGTGATTCTAAATGGAAAAGCCAATATGCAATCCGGACTCCTCGGAAAAAGGCCTTTCTAAGGATGAGATTTGTAGCGTTTGATAGAGAGATTTACGAGAAAAGTTCCCGATAGACAAACGCAAGCGTATTATTTACATAGAGACGCAGGTGAACACTGCAAGTATTTGATTATGTCTCTCATACTTTTGTCAGGAAAGATAGTGCAGAGAAAACTTAAATTTAAATGCCTTGAGATAAATAGAGCAGAATTTCTCTTGTGGCAAAATACGATAGTCTAGAGTTAAGGCGTGTTTTGAATATTAGGTCTTTAAGTGAGTGTGAAGGTTTTCTTTGCTTTCATCTTTTGCTGATACTGGTATTAAGAATGAACATTGGCTAAGATCAAAGAGTTTTAAAGCCGCAATGAAAGATGTGTTTAATGATTTATATTTTGGTGAACTAATCAATGCATATTACATTACTGAATGTTTACTAAATTTAATTCAAGTTACAAGTGAATAGCTATATTTCACTCAAAACAACAGGTCTGTGATACCTATAGGTACACAACAATATTGTAGGGACATTGAAAGCTCTTTGTCCTTCCGTATTTCTAATTACAATATACTCTAATCGCTTCTCGATTAGCTGCATATTGAACAGGATTATGAAAGTTGGAATGCAATTATAAACAAACATTTATTTATTAGGTAGCATCTCCATACAACGTTACGGTTGTGGCCTAATAGTAGGTGCCACACTGCGAATCCTAGAGTTCAGGTGTGCATTCCTTTGCCACGAAATCACGCTTCAAACTTTGTGGATGTGGGTGGGTTCGTTATAAAAAGTAACGGTCAACTCACGTTATTTGATTAGAATATCCTAAAATTTGGCTGTCATTGCTATTGTCATGTTGCCTTTTTTCTAGTCTATAAGTTAATTTATATCTTTGCGCGAACTTTATGAACAGATAAACTCCATGTGAGAACCCCAAGTGCTTCAGTAAGGTTGGCCTATGGTACTCTGTTTAAAGAGTAATGGTGTATCAGTAGTTATAATCCACGAATAAGTGAAGAAACATAGGATTTAGTTGATGAAAAGTGTGTGAAATAATAGGTGTAGAAGGGAGCTACGAGTCGAGAGAGCTTAGTTCTGACTAATGTAAGTAGTTTTCTTTGATCATAGATTGATAACAATACAATTAAATAAATCTTTATAATACATGTAACACAATTTAAATGCAAATACAATTAACAACTGAAATACTACATGAAAAGTGAAATTATAAAAAATGGTAAAGCTAAAATTAAAACAAAAAATAGAATTCGTTCGTTTGTTGAATTTCACGTAAAGCTACTCGAGGGATTTCTACGCTAGTCGTCCCTAATTTAGAAGTGATAGACAAGAGGGAAATACCCTAATCAACATTACCCACCGCCAACTCTTGGGCTACTCTTTACCAAAAAATAGTGGAATGGTCCGTTACATTACAACGCCCTCACACCGAAAGGGTTAGCATGCTAAGTGACGGAATTCGAGTTCGCGACCAGCAGATTACGAGTCGAGTGCCTTAACCACCAGGCCATGCCAGGTCCAAAAGACAGAAATGAAAATACGATGAAGGAGCAAAACTTGACAAAAGACAAGATGTTCAGATGTTAAACCAAATAAGAGACTTTTGCACACAACAAAAACAGAAGAGATTATGTGTTTATATTGCACTATTAAGTCATACTACAGAAGCATATAATGTGATATCTTAGATTGCCTACGTCATTAATAGTTTCAATTTTATGTACTCAAAAGTGATAGATAGTCCCAGTCCAAACTAATATTTAGCTATCTCCACCCAACCCCACACACACACTGGGGTGTGATCGATACCTCAAGGAAATGATGACACAGAACTATGTCACAACTTCTGTGCAATGGACACCGTGTTATGTAGCTTTAGTTTGTAGTAAGGATGAAGGCAAGTTTGTAAATATTTACATCCTGCAGAGCACTCCACAAAAGACGTTTTATAAGAATGAGATGAATTTATTTGAATGCAGATACATTATTTCTAGCTATAGAAGAATAATATCAAACAGTGTGTTTTAGGAATTGCAAATAAAATGAACAATTTTCTTGTAATGTCCTCTTGAAAATAAGTATTTTGATATATAATGTTTCTTCTACGATTAACTGCTCAGAAGATATAGATCGTAACAAAAAGACAGACATTGGCTATTATATAGATATTTATCACTCAGATTCTAATAGTCTTTGGTATATTACTCATTGCTGTGTATCATTAGTATATAGAAATAAGCTACTTATGTTGTTTTTTGTGCGATGTTTCACAAAAGTTTTAATGTCACACATGCAATGATAATTATAATGAGCAGTTGGAATGATTTTAGTATCAAGCTGATTAAGTCGTCATACAAATACACAGTTTAATCACGAAGAAAGAGCTGTATTACTTGTAGTTTTGGGAGGTCCGCTTTGGCTCAAACTGCATATTATTCTGGTTTATACATCATGCCATTGTTTATAACGCACCAAAATGGAACATTTTAATGTGTACCTATCCACGCGCAGCGTAGGAGTTATAATATATGTATACACATAGATATATATATATTGGAAATATTATTAATTGATGTTTTAATAAATTAAACCTTGTGCTAAGTGCCGCTCGGTGGGTTGATTAGAATCTTAGGAGTTTTAGACTAATCTGGAGATCATGCTGTCTTTCGTGCTTCACGTGATATTTGCACATGATACGGATGTGAAGTTTCAAGTGGCTGAAAGATTCGCCTTTTGATGGAACAAAAGCTTTCCATTCGAAAGGATAGTCTCCGGCTGATAAACGCGACTGGCGCTAGCGTAGATCTGTTTTCTGTATGTAGATAAATATTCGTAAGTATATATAGACATGAGCACCAAGTAATCACGCCACTGCTCTGGAAAGTATACGTATACAAGGAAACCCATAGCTCACTGGAGTAAAGGTAAGGACTATAAACTGTTATTAAGATTGTACTTAATTTTAAACTTAGAAAGAAAAAACTTTATTAGTATAACAATTTAAAGACTTATAATCGTTTAACAATTAAATGAAACTGGTAAAAATATTACATAAACCTTTACAATATGAGAGTGACTGTGTGTGTACATACTTAAAAGTTTTAGAATTTTATGAGCTTTAGCTCTTTGAAAGGAAATATATAATTGGAACAATAAATATTATCTTAATTGCTAAGGATTAGAAATAAGTACTTTCTTAAAACGCATCTTATGTACAATTGGGATTTTTAATGGATAATACGCAATCCTAAAATGTATTTAACAAAATGAAAATTCCGTTTTATAAAATAATGAAGCTTTGCGTATTCAACAAACCCGACAGCAGGGCCACGGTTTCAATAACGTGAGTTGGACCATCAAGTGTAAAATATAGTAAATTTAGGTAGCTATAAAACCCAAACACTGGAGAGCCCGAATTAGAATAGTAATGAATTACGTGTAAAAATTATTTGAGAAGGATTTTCATCATAATTTCGAGTCTGTTATACATGTCTTAAGTGCAAAAAATGTTTTGTTGTCCTTCGGAAGTATCACAAGTATATACAGATAGGATAAGTGTCATACAGCCACACATTTGGAACATCTATGATTTTTCAACTTATGTTAAAACGTATAAAAGTCAAAAGGCTTAAATTATATGGTAAGGAATCGTTATTACTGTAATAATTAATTTGTAATGGGTAATGCAACAACTGTGACTTTTTTACATTGATATATTGTCAATATTTCTATACTTTCCAAACTTTATTAGTTTTTTTAAGCCACAATTTTACAGTCATCATATAATAATTTTTGATAATAAATAATATATTTCTCGGTGTTTTACGTCTGAAAGTTATATATGTTCAGTCGGATTTTTGAAACTCTAACTGTGTATTGACGTCTCCACAATTCATTCGAGTTTACACACGCACATTCGAAACGTGTGACAGTGAAACTAATCTTCCCTATTCATTAACAAACTTGTTGTTGGTTATGCTACTCCACAGCTAAGTAATTCCAGGCGTACTTCCGAATACTTAATATAAAACTCAATAATCATATGCTTTAGTACTGTTTTCAGAATTAGCTTCAATAAAAGTAAAACGCCCAAAATAATAATAATAAAGTACATAGATACCTGAGTTTTGAGTTGAAGCTTACAAGAGTAAGAGTTATAAACCGTGAGGTGTTGTCAGTTATTTAGGAAAAACGATCGTTAATCAGAATAAAAGGTGTAATATGAAATCGAATTAACATCGTAGTGTTGAATCTCTACCAAACTATATAATGGTAAAAACAAAGAACATATTTATTTGTGCTTATACGTTCATTTTTGTACATACTAATTTTTAAAAGATCTTGCAAATCTTATGCAACTAGATATATGGAGCGTATACACCGTATTATCTCTTTTTTACCATTTTGCATGAGCAAATGAAACAATATTTTAAAGGGTTTATGTACCCCTTTTCTTATTGCGATAGGGATATATTGTTCTGTAATAAAACTAAAAGCCGAGATTAATTCTTTTTGAAAGTTAGATGTTTCATCTTCTTAGATAACCTAAGTAATGTTTACTTCTTTGTTTTAAAATGACATTTCAAACTGTATCAATTTTAGCTGACATACTTTTCTTCTATCGGAAGCAACCGTCAGGAGTGTAGCAAGATGGGGATCGTGAGGGGTGTCGAAAGAGCACCTCAGTATTCTAAAAAGCCTAAAAGGTCCTCTATATTCTGTTGTTTTTTGTTTTGTTTTTTAAATAAATGCTTGGCTTTCATGTAAATCACTTAAATTCTTTGTGTAGAATAAAAGATCCACACGTTTCGAAAAAGACCCTCTCCCTTCTCTGTAGTACTAGCTACTCGAGGAGACTCGAACTCCGAATTTTAGCACTGTAATTTCTAAACTTACCGCTACTTATCGGTAACCAGATCTTAGGTTCATGTATTCATTATGAAGTGACTTAGGCATTAACGTATGCTATACATATGATTCTCTGTGACGGCTCATATATTTTGCGCAGAAATTTCTCATGTATAGATGCTGCAGTACTAGATAAACTAGTTTATAAAGAACACTTTTTAACAGCCAAAAAATTAATACATATTCTAACGCATACCATGAAAACGTTAATATTATATACACAGGTTCCCAAAATTATGACAATTATCTACCGTAGTTATTAAAAACCTTAATAGGTAGGGTGAGGCAAAAACTTTATGAACATTTTTTGAGCTGCGCGTGCCCTTGTAGTTAGCCTGCCTGTATTGTGAATCCGTGTTTTCATAAATCATGTTCCGTTGGCACAAAAAACGCGTTCTGCACTTTGAGGCCGTGGGTGTTCTGTATGAGCAACGGTCAAATCTCACTATCTGGTCAGCAAGAGTAGGCCAAGATAGGTGCTTTTCTCTTCCCTTTAGTATTTGCAGTTAGACCTTAGGGGAGGCTATGCTAGTCTATGTGGTTTTGCGCGAAAAGTCGAAAAAAGCAACGAGGAAAACGATTATACAGCAAAAACATTTTATATAAAGCAAACATTACCTTTAAAGTTCATCTTGAGATTATTAGGTTTTTGATATCATTTTATCTACAGTTGAATATGTGAATTTATTGAAAAAATATACTATTTCAGCAATCTAATTGTAGTGAAACGACGAACGTAATTTGCAACTTACAAGGAACGTCTCGATAAGCTGATACTTTAATCACTTTCTTATCAAAACCAAACAGTAATGTTCTTGACATAAATTCTGGCAGAAAATTCGTTAATTTTGCAGTTTCGAAATGAAGCTAATAAGACACTTGATTTTTACAATCGAGTTTAAGAAATATATATACACACACAATATAAATAAGAAAGAAGACATGCAGAATAGGAAATATGGTATTGTTACGTCTCCGTTCGTTAGTTGATTTTCCGTAACTTCGTTCCCACGAAACTTTAGCGACACAAGTCCTTTCTTAATAAAACTGGTTTATTCTTTCTGAATATAACTTTACCGATACACTTATTTTCAACAGTCGCTCTATCACAAACGCTATAACAACGAACATTAACTTCAACAATACTTTCTGACTGCAGTTCAATTACTCACTACCTACACACATTGTCACGTCACGCCGTGACCATCTTATATATACAAGACCACCCCCAATTTAGCAAATGCTAGAGCACTCCCGAAGGAACAGGATAGTTCTAGAAACGTGGCATGACACTAGTCACGTGACCTCGCTGACGCAACACTGCCCCTTCTTTAGTATTGTTCGTCCCGAACAATAACCACATACAATAAACCAATAACAATAACTTAATTAAGTGTACAGAATTACAAACACAAAATTACAATTCAACAAAGTCTTAATTTTACGGGACGTATCTTCTTCCGTACTGGTCTCCGTCTCGTTGGCTTCTGCTTCATGTGGGGTTCATCCGCTTCATTAGTAAATGTCCTATCATCGGTAACAGTCACATCAGTGGTAGTAACTTCATCAAGAGCTTCATCATTTCCCTTCTCAAAACTGAGTAGAGTTTCTTCTTCGATGTTGGCTTTTTTCAGGTGACACCTCTTCAGCAGCGTCATTTGTTCCTTTGTTCACTTCGTCCCAACTGAAATGTCCTGGATCGTGATAATGCCAAAGCCTGTTGGCATGCACCACTTTTGGCTTACCTCGCCGACCACATTTTACTCGGAAAGTCACGTCTGAGAGACGATCCACTATGTCATATGGGCCTTCCCATGGAGAAGACAACTTAGGAGACTTCCCTTTGGTCTTCCTGGGATTATACAACCACACCTTGTCTCCTGGTTCAAAGCTGACTTCAGTAGATCTCTTATCATAAATTAACTTCATCGAATCAGCAAACGTTTTCAAGTTTGAACGCACTTGATGGTGAATATCATCCATCCTTTCCGATAACACTTTCACAAACTCTGACACATTCTCAGGCAACTCTTCAAAAGGTGGGCGTCCTATTAACAGATCCACTGGCACCGAAGTTCCCGACCAAACATCAACTTTGTTGGAGTGTATCCAGTGGTTTCATGCTCTGCTGTCCTATAGGCCATCAACAGTGGAGGGAGTAAGATATCCCAGTCATCTTGACGGCTATTACAAAACTTTGCCAATTCCTGTCCCAGTGTCCAGTTGTACTTTTCTACCGTCTCATCAGACTGTGGGTGAAGTGGCGTTTGGTATGCCATATGAACTGCATTCAGATCAAGGCCGTAACTTTGAATCAGCTGTGTTCCAAGAATGCTGCAAGTTGTTTGGCATCTGAAAGACCAGGACAACGCCACTTCACCCACAGTCCGATGGGATGGTAGAAAAGTACAACTCCTAAAGAAGAAATCACTAATAGCTGAAGCTACAGTTGTGGCTTCCTGATTTGGTATTGCATATGCCTCAGGCCACTTGGTGAAATAATCCATCACCACGCAAATGTACTTGTTTCCAGCACGAGTTTGGGGCAAAGGACCAGCAATTGGTGCGCCAACTTGGTATAACTTCATTGGAGCACGTCCCTTATGCTTGGGTCCCCTTTTAGCACAACATGTACTGCAGGTCCTGCACCATTCTTCCATATCTTGCCTCATACCTATCCAGTAAACTCTCTGTCATAGGTGACTCAATGTCTTCTTAACTCCGAGGTGTCCTCCTGTTAAACTATCATGGGTTTGACGCAGCACAACTTCCCATAACTTTCTTGGTATAACTGTTTGCCAGGTCGTCACTTTCCCAGCTGCAGTTTCCCATCTCCAGACAAGAATATCATCTTCAAGCTTCAACTGGTCCCATTTTGCCCAATAGTTCTTTGTCACAGGGGTTACGCTAGGCACTTTCTCCCAAGAAGGGCACAAAACAATTGCTTCCAGAAAATCAATTATTGACTTCAAATCTTGGTCTTTCTCCTATTCTGATTTATTATCTATACCAGGTT